GAGGATTGCTTGAGGCCAGGAGTTCAAAGCCAGCCTGGGCAACATAGTGAGACCCTTGTCTCTATAAAAAAAAAAAAAAAAGAACAACAGAAAGGACAACAGGCAATTACTCCCCAGGTGTGGCTTGAGACCATGATGACATTCTTTTTTCTTATACTCTGGAATTTCCGTTTCTAGGCCTAAGAAACTTGTGCACTTGAAGTATTCTTTCTCTCCTTAAATGGGAATCACTTTCCAGGTAACGGGATTGTGGTCCTCTTGCCGGGGGGTACTCGCACATATCTAGCACACTGCCAGCCACATGGCTTAACAATGTTTGTGAACACAAATTGCGTTGAACTGAACTGAGTTACAGCGCTAGAGCAATGCTGTGGAATTCTTGGGATCCCAGCTGGTATAGGAAACCTGTGCTGCTGTCCAAGCTGCACCTCTAATCTCGAGAACTTGTGATTCCCTCCCCTGTCAGGGAGAATTCCTAGTATTTGATTGTTGTTCTTACAGAAACTAAGAATGAAAACTGAAGAAGAGAACCGGGTTCATATGGAGATTGAAGTGTTCCTTAGAAAGGAGCAGCAGGTAGGTTACCAAAACTTTTTTATCCTCTGATTTTTTTTGTATTCCACTTACAAAATACCAAGGAGAGCAAAAAGCATTTTTTTTTTTTTTTTTGAGAACACATTATTACATGTTTCCTTCTGCATTGGTCAAAAGAATTTTTTTTTTTGGAGACAGAGTCTCGCTCTCTCTCCCCAGGTGGAGTGCAGTGGCATCGTCATAGCTCACCACAACCTCAAACTCCTGGGCTCAATTGATCCTCCTGCTTCAACCTCCCAAGTAGCTGGGACTACAGGCAGGCCATGATGCCTGGCCAAAAATTTTTTTTAAAGGAAAGAAAAGTCAACCATAATTCTTCCAGTCTAATGAACTATATAGCCCATGTTTTCTTTCAGAGTTATCCATCTGAATAGGTATTTTATATAGCTGTAATTTAAGTGACTGCAGGTAAAATTTTGTCATCTGCCTTTATAATTTAGCTTATATAAGAAACTGTTTTCTTATTCCTATATTGCTTCATAGTCATAATTTAAAAATAAAATTTACTGAATTTTTTAAATTATAAAAATAACATATTTTCAGTTGAGAGAAGATTTTTTAAAATCACCAACTGCTTTTGTACCCATTTTTTCATGCCATTAGAATCTCTTTATAAAATAATTTAAAATAGTTGTATAATGTTCCATTGAATGGTTATGCCACAGTCCACTTGTTACCCTTTATTTTGGATATTTAGGTTATTTCCAAAGTTTTATTAGAATAAATAATGCAGTAATGAAAGCTTTGCTCAAAGAATTATTTTTCTTCATTGCAGTTATTTACTAAAGGTAAATCTCAAGCAGAAGATTATTATTTCAGAGAGACTAGTATTTTGTGACTCTTGATAAATGTTGCTAATACTTACTAATCTATATTGCCATCAGCAATGTATGAAGGCAGTAATTTCAAGGTATCCTCAATAGTACTAGCCATTTTAAATATTTTTTAAAAGTCTGCTAATTCAATGAATTGTTTTATTTTTCATTTTCAACTTACTAATAGAACTGTACAGAACATTTTTCTATATATTTACTCAATTTATTTCCCCTTGTGTGAATTATATGTGATGGAAGTGGTTTTAATTAGCATTTCTGATATTAATTAACAAACCAACCTGGGTCTATAATATATCTAAGGTTGTAAACATGTCTAAGTTCAGCTGGAGTCTTTCAAAATATCCCTGTTGGATGAATAAAGAAAAAATTTACTTATTATACAGCTTGCCTTTGGGAAAAGCTCATAAATTTTCAGTCAATGATTCCAAATTTGTGCTTATGCTATCTCACAGGCTTTTCCTAGGGGGGAAAAAACATCCGGTAGGCTATTAGAATCAGGGTCCTGTACCCCGCAATTTAAGTCTTATGTATCATGTTACCTGTTTCAAGTGTGAGATACATGGTAGATATTCAATAACAACCAGGTGAGTTGGTGGATAAATGGATAATGGAGGGATGAAATTAGTGTTTCCCAGAGCTTCAGCCCAATAACACAAGTAATACATAAGTATGTCTTTAATGAAGAATTTCAAACACAGAAATATATAGATTTTAAAAAGTGATAGACATCTTTTTCTTTTCATGTACATACTTGTATCTAAAAACACACATATTTTTAGTATTTATTTGTGTTTTACATAAGGAGGATCATACTATATATATTGTTCCAGATCTTGTTTTTTTTTTTTCTTTTTCTTTTTTTGTTTTGTCTTTTGAGACAGAGTCTCGCTCTGTCACCCCAGCTAGAGTGCACTGGCATCATCCTACCTCACCGCAGCCTCGAACTCCTGGGCTCAAGCAATCCTCCTGCCTCAGCCTCTGGAGTAGCTGGGACTACAGGAGTATGCCACCACACCTGGCTAATTTTTTCTATTTTTAGTAGAGACGGGGTCTCACTCTTGCTCAGGCTGGTCTTGAACTCCTGACCTCAAGCCATCCTCCCACCTTGACCTCCCAGAGTGAGTGGCATGGGCTACTGCTCCCGACCTGTTTTGTTTTTTCCTTTTAAAATTTACCTTGTCTTTAATGTTTTCTGTAATAGTACAACTGTTGTATAATATCCCATAGTCAGATAGATAGATTTAGTTAGATTTAGGTTGTTTCCAAATATCGCTGTTATAACAATGCTAAAGGTTCTTGGACATGTCTCTAAGTACATGGTATATGGAAAGGCTATTTATTTTTGCATATTACTCTAGATTCCTTGTACCCTCTCATGTTATTAATAATTCTAATAGTTTTTCAGTTGAGTGATTTGGATTTTCTAAGTAGAAAATCTAATTTATTAAAAATAATTTTATATTTTCCTTTTCATTATTTATATGTCTATTTCTATTTTGTGGCTTATTGTATAACTAGAAAGTCAAGCGTAATGATGATTAGTAGTAGTGATAATGGGGCATCGTTTTTCTATTCTTGGTTTTAATGGTGTTTTAGTCAGGATTATACGTGAAGTCATCATAGTCATGCCAAATTTCTCATGTTGCAAGTTAGAACATTCATTGGGAAAGAATGGGACCCTGAAACCTGGAATGGGAACATCTGGGAATTCACATAAAATTGACAATCTTGAACCCCCAAGTTACTTTAAGGCTCCTTTGCCAGTGGAGGTAGCCCACCCTTCTGTATCTGAGGAGACAAGACTTCCTTTGCCCCAAAATCCGGTGATAACTTCATCTGGGGAAGATGTCTTGAAAAGGGATGCTCCTTCCTCAGACCCAGCACAATTACCCCTATTGTCCCTGGATCCATAACTAGGGTCAAATCTCAGTATGTTCTAGGGGGACATAAAACTCAGATGACTATAACTCAGAAGGAAATAACTTACATACCAAAAGAGTTGTATGATCTTGCTAATATACATTGGCAGAAACCTGGGGAACATGTGTGGGAATGGATTGTAAGAGTGCTAGGCCAAGAAGGCTGGAATGTGGCACTACATTGGATTGAATTCATTGATATGGATGCATTTACTAGACATTCTGGATTTAATGGGTTAGGTTGTGCAGCTAGAGATGACTCTATTAGTTCGCTTAATTGGACTCCATGGTTGCCTTCATTTGGTGAGGTGGAGATGCTAGAGCTTCCCTGCTATGACGTGGAGGAGAGAATCCAAAGACTTAAGGATACAGGAATGTCACAGTGGATTTATCATGTTTGACCTACACATGTACCACCAGACACACATCCTTAACCATGAGAAAGCCCAGAAGACACTCCTTTACTAAGAAAGACACTGAGAAATACAATAGTGAGAGGAGCACCTGCATCCCTGAAAAGCTTTGTATTGCTTTCCTATGTAGGCCAGGTATGACCACAAGGGATGTTGTCATTGAGATGAGCTGCCTGATTTCAGCGGGTATGATGGGACCCTGAAGTGCCAAAGGATAGACAGCAGCACTTACCTTGCAAAGACAACGTAGGCACATTTACCGTGAAGGGCAGCAGGGATGAAATGGTAGTTAGAACGCCTTTGCCCACAGGGATCTTTGGCAATGGCTAATTAATGTTATCCCTAGTAACAATACTGATGGGCTGCCTACTAACTAAAACATAACAGAAAAAAGTTAGGTCTAGCCAAAACCTCATTTGAGTCACCACAATAGAGAGTCATGGCTTTTCACCCAGTTTCCAGAACAAAGTCAATTCGCAGACCCAAAGCCTCTTTATTAAAGGTGGGGGGCATATCCCTTTGAGGATGAACCCTGCAGCATTGCTGTAAGTACATACTGTAAATCTTCCTCTAAGCCTGATCCAAAAGACCTGTGCTATTTACAGAGTGTGTACTGGGGAAGAGAAAATATCCAGACATTTTGAGATTACTAAATATTTGCTCTGAGTTGATGTTTATTCATGGAGACCCAAAACAACACTGTGGCCGCTAGTCAAAATGAGGGATTATGGGGGTTAGGTGATAGATGGAGCCTTAACTAAAGACCGACTTACTGTGGGTCCACTTATTCAATGGACCCACCCTGTAGTTGTTTCTCCAATTACTGAACTTATAGTTGGAATAGACGTACTTGGGGCCACTATGGTAGTAAGGGCCAAGTAGGATCCTCTGGAACTACCCCTCCATACCAAAGTAGTAAACCAGAAGCGATGCTGCACCCCCGGTGGAACTGCATTGATTAGTGCCACCATCAAAGACTTGAAAAAAGCAGGGGTGGTGATATTAATACTTACCACATCCCCATTTAACTTAGCTGTTTGGCCCGTGCAAAAGTAGCAGGGATCTTGGAGAGTGAGTGTGGACTATTATAAATGTAATCAGGTGGTGACTCCAATTGCAGCTACTATTCCAGATGTAGTATCTTTATTGGAGCAAGTCTTCAAAGGCCTCTGATACTTGGTATATTGCTGTTAACCTGATCAAAGCTCCTGTCTCCAAGCCAATTTAAAAAAAAACACGAGGAGTTTGCTTTTACCTGCAGGGCCAACAGTACAACTTCATAGTCTCGCATCAGGGCTATGTTAATTGTGTTCTCTCCCATAATATGGTCTGCAGAGATATTGTTCACTTGGACTTTCCACAAAACATCATAGTAGTCCACTGCATTAATGTCATTACGCTACTTGTATCTGATGCACAGGAAGTAGCAAGAACTTTAGATGCCTTAGTAAGACATATATGAACTAGAAGATGGGAGATAAACTCCCATTTCTGGTGCCAATTTGTATCATCGACGATCTGTTTAGGTGACAGAAATCATACCAATTATTTGAACAGAAAATTTAACAAAAGAATAGTGAGGGATTGGCTACTCAGAAGGGATAAAAGAGAACTCTAAAGAACATCTTGGGGCTGAAGGACGAAATCCAAAGGAGGAATGAACTTGAAAGGTGAGGGGAAGGGAGGATCTTTCCCAAGATTCAGACCTCGTTGGAGAGGGTGTGGCTGTGGCCCTCTGGAAGGCAGAGAGCTTTGCTGGGTTGCCCTGGGCCAGAGCTGGCTTACAGCTGGAGGGATAAAGCTGGCAAGCAGGG